TACACTGAAAAAAATGCATGTAATTTTACATGGAAATTATATGTTCATGACTGGAAAATTGTCTAAATATGATTGGAAATTTACAATTTCCAGTAAATTTCCAAGCATATTTATGTAATTTAGATAATTTTCTAGTAATTATACATGTAATTTCCATGTAAAATTACATGCATTTTTGTCAGTGCATTCTGTATTTGAAAACTAAACTGTATTTAAAATATTTATTTACCCATTTTACATATAAAGTGGATTCGAAAAACATTTTATACATTTTAAATACATTTTTTTAAGTATTTTATATTTGGCATTTTAAATGATTACCCAGTCCTGATCTCCGGGAATATATCCGGTTGAAATTTTATATTGAAAGTTTGCTTCTATTCTTTTCAGTTGAATTTCGTACACAGTTCGTTTTTCCTCTTTTTCTTTTCACGTTGGAGAGGTAAAAAAAGAGATCAATTGTGCAACAAGTTCAGCTAACGTTACATTCGGGGAGCGATATTATATCAACTATCAACAGTATCAGCACTATCGTGTCATTTTATTTTTATCATTCATTAGACATAAAACAGAAATAGGATAAAGAGCGTGTTCCGAATTACATATGAAGCGCTTGATGTATAATTTGCCATTTATCAAACAACACATCGTTTAAAAGACAACAGAGTAGTAGAACTAAACAGAAAACTGCAGCTTACAATGCTGAATTAACGAAATATCTGATAGAATCTCTGTCACCGAGAAATGTAATAAGATCCCTTAACGTGGTGGAAAATTCATGTCTTAGAGTATCCAAATCTCAAAACTTTGATTTTGAAATACTTGAATGCTCCACCGTCTTCCGTGCATTCGGATAGGCTTTTCAGGAAAATTAATTTATACCGATAAAGATTCTATCAGATATTTCGTTAATTCAGCATTGTAAGCTGCAGTTTTCTGTTTAGTTCTATTACTCTGTTGTCTTTTAAACGATGTGTTGCTTAATGAATGGCAAATTATGCATCAAGCGCTTCATATGTAATTCGGAACACGCTCTTTATCCTATTTCTGTTTTATGTCTAATAAATGATAAAAATAGAATGACACGATAGTGCTGATACTGTTGATAGTTGATATAATATCGCTCCCCGAATGCAACGTTAGCTGAACTTGTTGCACAATTGATCTTTTTTTTTACCTCTCCAACGTGAAAAGAAAAAGAGGAAAAACGAACTGTGTACGAAATAGATTGTCACCGGAAAATGCTGAAATATTATTATTATTCATAATGACAAATTTATTAATATCAAAAAACTTTGTTTACTAATGTTGAACTGTATTGCAAGCAATTAATATGTATTATTTTACAATAATTATATTATATTAATAATTACATCATTATAATTATATAATTATTATCACTATTTTTCTCTTACATTCCCTTTTCCTTTTTGTTCCCTTTTTCCTTTTTTATTCAGCTCTTTTTTTTTAACATTGTCCCGGAATTCGGTCGGATATCCGGAAAATATCGGACATCCGACTCGAAAAGTTATCTTCCCGGATATCCGATAATTTTACGATCCGGTGCATCCCTAGTATTCTTTTCTTTTCATCGAGCAAAGAAAACGTTACATCGCTCATTCTTATCGTTGTTTGTTTCGTATTTTCGAGTTACGATAGTTTGTGACTCGAAAACTAGCAGATGACAGTTGATAACGTGTTAGGTACATGTGCGAAACAATTAGTAACAATTAGTAGAGTAAAAATAACGTGCGTACTATAATATTGCGAACACAAGCTTTAGAATTTTTCGAGGTATTGTCTGTTAAATATTTTTGATAAATCTAAATTACAGTCTAATTCAAATAAATCTATACAGATCAACTAATCAACTGTATTTTTCGCAATTTTCGTACTCAAAGTGTAAAGTAGCGACGCCATTATCGGCATCGCTAACAAAATGAAACAGGGGCGTTTTACATAAAATAAAACAAATACTCGTCTTTCTCATCGCGATTTAATCAGAACGAGAGATACAATAAGTGACGACACGAGCATCTATCCGTTGAACCGTATCTTGTATTATCTTCTCTGCAGCCTGTTTGCAAAGCGCCGGAAGAGTAAAGAGATCTCGCAGTCCCAGTCATCCGATGAAGGCCATTTTGCCGATTCATTCGGCGAATCCGATTTCCCCACGATCCGCCACGATGGAATCGCGCAACGATAGCAACAATAACAATAGTCATCACGGTGATCATCATCCGAGCGAGGACGGGTCCTCCGTGGAGGAATCGAGCGCGAAACGGCCGCTCCATCCGGCGCTGCTCGGTGCTGGCGCCGTTCTGGAGGCGAAGCCACTCTGGGAGGAATTCCATCAGCTGGGCACCGAGATGATTGTTACGAAAGCCGGACGAAGAATGTTCCCCACGTTTCAGGTGAGCATCTCATTCCTGCAGATACTCATTCTCAAACAGACAAATTGACGCGAAAACCTCATATTCGCCGAAGCGATGCGATGACATATACGAATGATTTTGCTGATCGACAGTGTCGACTGTTCGGCTTAGACCCCAACACCGAGTATCTGATGGTGATGGATTTCGTCCCGTGCGACGACAAGAGGTATCGATATGCTTTCCACAGCAGTGCCTGGGTCGTAGCCGGTCGAGCTGATCCCATATCACCCCCCAGGATCCACGTGCATCCCGATAGTCCTGCGAGTGGCGCTCATTGGATGAAGCAGCCAATTTCCTTCGACAAGTTGAAATTGACCAACAATCAGCTTGACGATAACGGACACGTGAGTCTCTTTCTCAAATTACAACTCCGCCAGAGCGGTGGATAGTTACGTTTCTTTATAATACGCGTCCTTAATAAATTATTCCGATTTATTTGAAATATATTGCAGAATTCAATTAACGACAACTAATATCATCTCACTTTTATTTGCGAAAATCAAAATATTTCAAAACACTTAAACAAATAATTGGAAATCCTCCTTTTGTTTCTTCAAGTATTTGGAAAAAAAATAAAAGAAAAACAATATTTTCAATTTTCGCCTGCGATCTTATTCTTTCACGACTTTGCCTCGATGTACCCTCTTCGCTTGAATTTTTACGCGACGTCTTCGTATCTGCGTTCCGACGTAATCTACATAGTAAAGTAGAATGAAAGATGTGGAGATTTCCACGTGTTTGTCGTTTACGCACGAGTTCGTCTTAATTGACCTAAGATACGAGTGTGTCGCTCACGAAAAATTACGGGGAGAAACGACGCGGCACGAAACGACGTTTTCACGAGGATTCTTCTACCGTTTAAAAGACGCCGCCTGTATAGATTAATATAGATTAACGTCGCGTAAGTGTCTCGCTGCAAACTCTGTGAGATTTTCGTCAATTAATGGCTGCTAAAGACGATTTGAAATGTTATGTTGGACTAAAAATATTTAAGAAATCTATAAAAAATTATTTACCTGTGAAAGATCTCCCCCCCCTTTTAATAATTTATTTTTATACATACTTTGTTTTCTTATAATACTCTAGATAAGACGCGTAACTAACATTTTCTCCATTTTTCTCTTCTCTTTCTCTCTCTTATATTATCTTTCATTTTTTTTTACAAAAGTTAAATTTTGATTACCTCGCTTATAATATAAAATCTCTCGAAATTCGCGGCGAAAGAAGTAAAAAGTAGATAATTATACAATAGCTGTCTGATCAAATGCGTTTAAAGTTGAATTCATATGGCTTGAGATATTTTGTCTCTGCGGTATATTATTCTCGCCTTCCTGTCGCCACGCGAGAGTGTCGTGTGTATAAAATAACGTAAACAGATGTAATGTAAACTGCGCGCGAGCTATAAGCCCTGGGAAAGAGACCATATTTTTTGTAACGAGTATTATACCGAGAAAGAATAGCGTTGGTCAGCATATCTGTTTATTCTGACATCGTGCGACGTCTTGATTCGGAATCGATTGCGAAAATTTATTGTATAAGTGCTTACGAGGCGTATTAAGTATATATGTATAATAATAAGTCTATACTTCTCACGATAATTTGATATATGATAGCATAAATATAAAATATAAACGTTATAAATAATAATTCCTATTCCACAATCAGAAATAATGAATTTCATTCAAATTGAAATAAAAGTATTAGGAATATTTTTGAAAATATTGAAACTGGGGGATATAATATAATAATATCAGTTTAGAAGAATTAATTACGTACAAAACATTAGTATTCTGTTAGTGTAAAACTCTTTGTTTTCTTTCTTATTATTACCTAACCTAAACTTATAGACCTGATTTTATTGAAATCATATACATATGTTTAAAAAAAATTTTTTCAATTCAATTCATGCGCACTTTAGTAAGTAATTCATACTAAATAGTCAATTTTTTTCAAAATGTTGACTTTTTCCAACATATAATTATACATCATTATATTTACATCGGATTTCAAATGATACACCTATCAAATGACATAGCGATAGAATTGAATAATATCAACGGATAACGTTTTCAAATTTGATGTAATATATAACAATAATGTAGGCAGGGGGATTAAAAACTTTTCAACTTTTCGCCGGTATATTTATAGGTACATATAGTACAACTCTTTAATTGAGTTTTCTCGCTCCTAATCCTTTGCATCAAAGGACCTATTTTTATTGTCTTTTATATCTATATGTTAGGTACAAAAATCGTCAAAACCTTGAAGAACCTTGATTTCAATTCGACTTTTTCGATCAATAAGCGCACAAAATATATATTTAAAAAATATTTTTTAAATATTTATTAAATATTTTTTACATTAAATAAATATTTAAAAACCGTTTTAAAAACATTGTTTGCTGATTGGGAAGCGGCGCGGCGCGTGACGTACCTATGTAGGTACGTACTTACGGCAAAGACTCTACGGAGCCAAAAATAATTTCTCGCCGAATACGATCGTGAAACAAACTCTCTGAGTCGTAATGTCGCGACATACCGATGAACGAAATCACACGACGCAACGTGCCAACACCGTAAACACGTGTATCGATCGCAATTTGTAATAGAAAGAGGTCAGATGGTCGAGTCACTCGCTTTCAAAACTCGAATTCGATCAGATATTTCCTAATGCGAAAAGGATACTACCATCGTTTAGCGATAAATATTGCTAAACAAGATTTCTATACACAAGATATCTGGTACAATATCGACTTCGAATCGATGTCAAATCTCAATTATATGTCAATCTTGCATGCAGAGCTAGGCAAAATATTAAAGTATTTGAAATATATTGAAAAATCAATTATGTCAATCTTACAATTAGTATTTACAATGTAAAATACAAAATACTTTTATGTGTTCCGTTGAAATACAAAATACAAACTGTATTTCAAATACTATATTCCAAATACAAGTATTTGAAATGTACTTGCTTGCATGTATGTATATCGGTACAAGTTTAGTAAGATTAATTCTTGATCAAATGTTTTTTTCTCGGTCAAAATTTGATGTATTAGATCTGTCTGTCTCAAGTTACAACAGAATATTCTGAATATTTAAATGCTATTAGCAATATTCATTCTTTCATTGTATACACTTATAAAACTACTATCTTTTATATCTTTATTTATCCTTTGAGAGCCAAGTTGTCGAAATATACACTATGCAAAAAAATTAACTTACAATAGTTAATCTTCCAAAAATAAGTACGTAATATTCAAGAGAGTGTAACTTTGTCAAAATGATTGCAACAAGACTTTTAAAAATGTATTTTAAAGCTTGAAGTTTCTACTTTTGAAATCGAGATAATTTCGAGATAATTGATACTTTGATCTTATTTTTATAAAGTTATAAGGATATAAATGGATATTCGTTAAATCTAAAAGTTTTGTACGAACTTTACAAAGTTTAGTTCCATGGCCTGAACTAAAAATTGCAAACAAATACTGTTTACAGCTGTTATAGTTCGAAAGAACGAATCTTTACCTTTAATTTGCTTTTCCTCTTGAGCGTTGTACAATCTTTTTTCACAGAGTTATTCAACATTGAAGCAAAAATGACCCCTTTTACTTCACGTTGAATAACTCAGTGAAGAAAATCGTACAACTTTCAACAAAAAAGTAAATTAAAGGTAAAGGTTCACTCTTTTAAAAGCTGTAAACAGAATTTATTTGCGATTTTTAATTCAGGTCATGGAACTTTGTAAAATTTGTAGATGTAACGAATTTCCATTTGTATACATGTAGCTTCATAAAAGAAAGTCAGATCGTTACCTCAATTACCGATTTCAAAAGTAGAAGCTTCAAACTTTAAAATGCTTTTTGGAAGATCTCGCTAGAACTATTTCTGACCAAGTTCGTCAATTTTGAAGTTTGTCCAACAAAGGAGAACTTCCCATTAAGGAGGAACATCACCCTTGAGACTTAAAAATTATATCTAACTTTGGCAATTTTTTGCAATAAACTAATAAAGGCAATCAAAAATCATTTTTAAGGGCTTTACTATATGAACTTTCGAGAGTACAAAAAAAATTTTTTTTGAATTTTTATCACACAAAATGGCGGCGCTACATCAGCAGCATCGAGCCTCCTTTTTTGGCCAATGCATATGCGACGAACACAGAATTTTCTATACCTTTTGATGTGGAACAAAAATCCAAAAATTTTCATTACCTACATACTTAAAGCTAGTGAAATACGTACACTGAAAAAAAAATATAGTCAATTTTAATAAATATTTAGTTCAATACGGTCAACTAAACATTTACTTACAGTAAATAAATATTTGTTCAGTAAAAAGAACGATTGTTAAATCAAATTAATGTTTCTTGTATCAAATAAATATATCTTTATATTTAATAAATATTTGACAGTATTGAACTAAATATTTGTTAAAATTGACTATATTTTTTTTCAGTGTAGGATTATTTCAAAATATTGTATTAATTTTAAAAAATTTGTAAAAATGATAAATATGTTTGAAAAAAAGTAACATTTTCGACCAAAAAATTTCATCTTTTAATGTTAATAACAAAAAAGTTTTCAATATATCGCAAAATCCTACGTACTTCTTTAGATTAAACACCTGAGAGTAATCTGTGCAAGTTTAAAGTTTTTAGAACTGATTTTTTGCTTATAAAATTATAAATCGGAATTGTGCCTTTAATCTGCAATGTCTGCGCCATACACTTTACAAGTAGCAACATTCATCTACCGAAATCTGTTTCTTCGAAAATTTGGAGTTTCCGTTTATCTGCGGAGCACTGCTGCGCAATGTCCGCTGCTTGGAGCAGACTCAACAGCGAGGTGAGGAGATGCAAGATATTGGCTCTAACGGGATTATACAGTTGAGATACCGGTTTAAAACTATTGAAATATTATTCTTAACAATATAAACTATAAATTTAAGTAAAAAAAATTTTCGATTTTTTTAAACCTCAAAGATGAAGTCCCTCTTTAAAAGATCGTTTAATATCAGTAAGGACCAAATTCAAAATTTACATATCTCTCCGAAAAAATGGTCTCGGAGCAATGTTTGGAAAAGCATTTTGAAGCTCAAAGCATAACTTTTGAATGCTTCGAATCACGTTTCTCTGTACAAATTTTATTACAATTACGATGTAATCTAAAGTGAAGCTTTATTTGTAATTTAAAGTGAAGCTAATCTAAAGTGAAGCTTGTAAAATTGGAAAATTAATACTTCAACTTTGATGATGTGCATAATGATGTGTACTTTGATGATGGGTAAACAAATTTTTTTCTGCAAGTTTCTACAATTGTATCGTAAGGCTTAAGCTTAATATTTTCTATTTAAAATTATTTTTAATCATTACGCTATAATGAATTTTCGTTATAGTGAATTTTCAGGACTTGGAAAATTCGTTACACACTTTAAATCATTTCACTTCAGCGAAAAAATCTGTAGATTAGATGTTGGTGCCTAGAAGCGGCAAAATGCTTAATCGATCACTGGTCTTTAGGATCCCTTTAATCGTTTGTTGAGAAGTAAACAAATTTCAAAAGAGGAACTTGGTTAAAAATGGTCTTAGCGAGATCTTTCAAAAAGCATTTTAAAGCTTAAAGCCTCTATAACTTTTCAAATCGATAATTGAGATAACGATTCGATTTTCTTTCACGAAGTTATACGTATACAAATGGGGAAATCCGTCAAATCTAAAAATTTTGTACGAACTTTACAAAGTTCCGTGGCCTAAATTAAAAATCGCAAACAAATTTTGTTTACAGTTTTCGAAATAATGAATCTCTTTACCTTTAATTAGATTTTTTGTTGAGAGTTGTACGATTTTTTTTCACCGAGTTATTCAACATTGAAGTAAAAGGGTTCATTTTTGTGCTTCAATGTCGAATAACTCCGTGAAAAAAAATCGTAAAACTTTCAACAAAAAATTAAATTGAAGGTAAAGAATCGCTCTTTCATTATAAAAAATAAAATGTTAATTTTAACTTAAAGACAAAAATGTTAATTGTAATATTTGTGTATGTCTCATAAAGTCCACTATATTTTTTTAAGTTAAAATTAACATTTTATTTTTTACAGTGTTTGAACGCTGTAAACAGAATTTGTCAATCAGGACACCTATCATGGGACAAGTCGGAATGGATTTCGATCGGAATTATTCAATTATTCCCTAGATTTCTATTATGTTTTCTAGAGAAAAGGGAATAATTCCAATCGGAATTCATTCCGGTATGTTCCATGATAGGTGCCCTGTAGATATCCAGATCGAAATATCAATTACTGATCTCGAAAGTAGAAACTTCAAGCTTTAAAATATTTTTTCTAAAAGTCTCGTTACGATAATTTTTGACGTTACATTCTTTTATGGAATATTACTTACTTTTGGAGTAGGACGGATTAAGTGATCCTTTAATTTTTTGCGTAGTGCAGTAATTTCGTTTCTATAACTTTCAATATAAATTTATCTAGGCGCAAGTTTAAAGTGCAAGAGAAGAGACATGCTTGGAATTACACACTTTTGTAATTATACACTTGTTTTTAAAGTTCGTATGTTTCTTCTTTCCAATTGTACTATTCGCAACCGAATATACTGCTCTCTGTGTATTCAGGCGTAATCTTTATCACGTTTCAAATTTATGCAATCGTAAATTCTTCGCCGACGTCTATTCTCGAGACGTGATTTATTTTTCGACATTCGAAACATCCTCGACTCGAAGAAGGAGAAAAGTTTGGAGTCTCCACTCGCGTTTCTCCCAAGAACGTATCGCTCTTCTTTCGCAGGAGAGGACCTCTGACCCGTGCAGTGGCGAGAGCTCGTTCTTTTTCTCGCGCTATACACAGAGCAGTTTGTTCCTTTAATTGCGTACCGAAAATCTGGCACCAGGCCGCGTAAAAAAAAAATCATAAAAACTCGCTGTAGGCGGCTCAGGAATGCTCGCCTCGATGCTCGTCCTTAATTGACACTCGCTATCGCGAGGCGTTTCCGGATATTTCGATATCGTTTTAAAAAAAATTTTACCCTAGATTTCATCTTTGAGAAGTAAATGCAGAAACAAATATAAAATAAAAATAACATTCAATTTTAGTATAATTATTGTATATACTCTCGGAAAAGATAACATTATCTCACAGAAAATACTCGGGCATTTATCTTTATTATCTATATATTACTATTTAACTTGAAATAAATACTTTTTTCGAGCGCAAAATTACCATTTTCAATATCGATACAAAGATGTATAGATAAATGCAAAGATAATTGCAAAAATATAACGTCTAAATACATTTTAGGAAAAGTTAGCCTGAGATATATGTAAGAGTCAAGGTGTTTCCAGATGAAAAAACATTAGGGGTGTGACGTATACCTATAATCAGGGTTGGGGGTAGTGTTAAGTTAAAAAGATAAAAGTTAAGTTAAAAAGTTAATTAATTTTAACTTAATTTAGTTACATTTTAGACTTTTAACTTTTTAACTTAATTTAGTTACATTTTATCAGTAACTATTAACTTTTAATTTGATTTTTTTTTAAGTCAATCCTCAGACATAATGCGAGAGGATAATGAGTTTATAATTTAGTAATTTTATATCGTATAATCGTTACTTGTGAACAAAAATAACCAGATTCTTTAATAAATATGATGTGAGAAAGGAAAAATACGAAAAATTATATAAAATGGACGAACTTTTCCTGTTTTCTTTTTTTTTGGTTGTTCGTTCGGATCAAATTAACTTTTAACTTTTCAATTACTTTTTTTTATTAACTTAACTTTTAATTCAATTAATTTCATTATGGATTAACTTGTATTTTAATTAAGTTAAACTTTCAAGGCTATTAACTTTAACTTAACTTAGTTAAAAAAAAAAGTTAACTTACCCAACCCTTCCTATAATTATATGTATACTATATTTATGGAATGCATGAAGCACAATATTCAATGTTCGATATGTTAAAGGAGAAATTATTGTAAGCAAGAGAGAGAGAGAGAGAAATTGAATGGTTTCGTTAGAGAAAATTATCGGTGAAAAGTTGGCTCGCGGGAAATGGCATCCTAATTTTCGGGGGCCACACACGCTTTTCCTCTTACGTGTATACGTTATGTGCGCGTTTATATCTACCAATACATCTACGAATACGGCATCACGAAGCATATGCGCGTGAGTGCGTGAAGGAAAGGACGAGGGTGTCGGATTACGGGTCGGAGGTTAGTTTTTACACTAATTAGTCACCGAGTCTCTCGTGGCTGTCAAACATTGCGACCGCCCCCCTGTGGCGCTCCTTCCTTCCATCGAATACGAGCTTCACGTGTTCCTATTTCTTCTCTTCTTTTTCTCTGGTATCTTTTTTTTCTCGGTACCATGGTTCCTCGTATGTATGTGTGTATATGTACGTACGAAGGCGATTTTACCAAATTGTACTCATCACGATCGTGAAAACGTTTGTCCCCTTACGTTTGTCATAATATTTGTAACGCTGTGTACGGTCGAGCTTTAGTTATAGTTGATACTTTTTTGAGATCAAAAAAGGGGGGAAAAAACATTTTAAATTTCCAAATTTTCTAAATTTTGTTCAATAATTGAGAGAGAGAGCGAGAGGGCGGGGGGAAGGAGAGAAACTGATTCAATCTTCTTTTCTCTTCTTCCATTTAAAATTAAACCGAATCTACTTGTCAACATGGATGTCATATGAAATTCTATATTACCTGGCGTTTAATCGATCGAACTTAAATGATATCTTCTTTTGAAAATTCGTAACGAGTGAGTATTTTGTTCGAAACAGCAATCTCTTTAGATATCCTATATGCGTTTATTGTACATATAGGTATGTATTAAGACTGTTGAAGGAGCGCGTTTTACTTAAACATAACGTCGAGATCCTTATATTGCATTGCAGATTATCCTGAACTCGATGCACCGTTATCAGCCGCGCTGTCACGTGGTGGTCGCTCCTTCGCCACCAGGCTCGGCGCCGGATCCTCGCACGGAGAACTTCAAGACGTTTTCCTTTCCAGAGACTAGATTCACCGCGGTCACCGCGTACCAGAACCATCGGATAACGCAGCTCAAGATTGCCAGTAATCCGTTCGCCAAGGGTTTTCGGGATTGCGAATCGGACGAGTGCGACGGCGTGGCGGCCGTCGCCGTCGGTGGGATGTCGAATCCTGCGAAAAGGCCGGCCACAGGACCCACGAGTACCGCGAGTACCATAAATACCGTTCTCCCATCCGGTTACAACGCCATGCCGATTCCGGCGCCGATGCAGATTCCGGGTGTACCCGCCGCCTCTCAGGAACACCATCAGTTCTACGGCGCAACGGGCACAGGTAGCCATTGGACGCATTATCCGAGCCATCATGGACAGTCATCGGCGCACGTCAACACGGTTCATTATCCGATGCATTCGCAGCATCCGCATTCGAGCGCGTCTCTCTACGGACCGCGATAATCATCAATTTGACCGCGCCCGCGCCGGTGCGGTTCTCATCAATCTCGTCATTTCTACTTTCGGCGTCTAGTTAATGTCGAATCATCGAGAACAGTTAATTCGTACACGCTTAGAAAACGCTTAGAAAACGCTTAGATGGAGACGAAAATGAAACGTTCGCGCTTAGTATTCCGATACTTTTCGAACGTTACTGTTTATGTATAGTTTTGATGTATTTTACATCTCGGTCCGACACTTTCTTACAATTAGTGCAATGGAACGCAAGAATCTCGACGATTGCTTCTTGAAACGTGTTGACGTAACTTTAGACTTGCAGATGTATTTTTTTAAAAACACGCGCGCGAAACAACTTTTGTTGCGCGATCTCTTATAAAGGACAAGACTTAAAAAACAGTAGATTATCAAAATACTGCATATATGTATTTACATATATTCGCAACGTTCGCAGCCGAATTTCTCTTACAAATCTATCGAAAGAATCAGGTCGCGTAAAATTATTTCAATTATTTCAAAGGATGTGAACATTTTACGCGCACATCTACATTTATATATTTCTGCGTGTAACGGCAGTTTTTTATTCAAGCTTATTTAACTGACAATAAGATATGGTAATTGATAAATTATTATATGTATATATATATATATACATATATATAGGTATGTCTTGTTGATTACACGATTTGTTGATGATGTAACTTATACCAAAGATTGTGCCAATATTTGACTTTATGGATCTATCCTAAGCTGCAGAATCGTAAGAGTCGTAAAGGCTTGTAACTTGTTCTCGTAAGACTTGCAAGAACTTATAACTGGAATTTTATGCAATATCTTCACATACAGCTTTTTGCTAGCAGTAATATTTACGAGGAATCGTAGACATTTTTGAATAATTGTACGTTTTTTTACGATACGCGTAGAATTACAACTCTATAAGTCACGAGTTCTTACGAGAACAAGTTACAAGCCTTACAATTCTACTCACAATCAGAATTGACTTATTAAATTATATGAATCTACGTTATATGAATCCGAGTTGAATAAAAAATAAAACAGATTTTTACATGTTGCTCACGCGTATTTATATATTATATGTATATACGTGTGATACTGTATACACATATAAATATATACATATCTAGTGATATTAAGAGAGTAATAATTAGAGAGAGAGCTAGGCCATACGCTCATATCATCGTTGGTGATTCCAATATATTGTTAAAGTGCTAACGTATCTGCATGCAGTACCTACTAAAATTATCAACAAAAGAACTGTAAAAAGAAATGCGTTTTATTCTTGTCTCTATTTTTTAAACACTTAAAGATGTTTTAGTTTTAAACTTTTTCAATAGACAAAACACTACGTGTTTGGATTTAAAACGCATAGTATTTTTTTTTAAGTGTTTAAAAAATGAAGTCAAGAATAAAACATTTTAATATCTGAAAATTAAACACTTCTTTTTTCAACGTATGAAACTGATAATGCAAACCTCTCATTTGCAAAGCACTTTGATATTTGTGTACACTTTTTTGAGCGTTTGAATTAATTAGTGCGTAAGAAACGAATCGACTGATCGATGTTGCTGGCAAAGCAACTTGTGGAAGTAAGTGCCTTTTGTAGGAGCAAAGTGCGTCTATTTATATTGGGTGTCTCAAATGCCGAACGAGTTTAAAACGTTCTCGAGCCAAGACGAGAAAGTAAACGCGCCGTGAAACACTTGGTGAGAGTAACGTGGTTACTAAAAGTGCCTTAATAAATTATGCCGCCTGGCTATCGTACTTACCATATTGTGCCTTTAACTTTTTAAGAATCCTCGTTCACAGCATACGACAGCATTGAAGGAACATTTATATTCCTTCCAAACGAAGAATAAACTGTATAAAATATAATGAAACATGCACAATTTATTTCTCCTGAACAAAAAATTCTCTCTCCACTCTTCCTCTCCTATGAAACCGAATATGCATATCTTATCTCGAGAGTGAACGATTCTAACTCCGTCTTTTTTTTTTGCAACTCGTCGCAAATTTTTTTAATTATTATTATTATTTAAATTTAATTAGCATATGTATATATATTATACTATAAACTTTTGTCAGGCATTTAACAACAATTTCATACGATTTCATCACGAAGATCTATCTTTCTTACTTTTATCATTGAAACTTTGATCATTGATGAAAATTATTAATGTTAAAAATATAGTATTAATGTTAAAAATATAGTATACTTGTATACGTATATAAAGATATTTTCTGTTAAAACAAGCTCTCTCTCTCTCTCTCTCTCTCTCTCGTCCTCTCATAGTAAAGATTCATTTATCAAGTTCATCTCAAATCTTCTTTTTTACATGAAAGTCGTGAGATTTTTCAGAATTTAGAATATTGCGGAATGTTGCGGTATTTTAAGTATCGCACACTAACCGATCGCTGTTAAATTATAGCAATTACAGCTATAAGAACGATACGTTTGTCACGAGCGGTTGACAATGGTTTAACATCGCGACTGTCGGAAATGACGAGCTAGAGCAACGAAGCGAGATAGAAAGGAACTCGAGCGTCTAAGACCTGCGTGGAATGACGAGACTGACTCGACGTTCGCCGTGATTGATGGCTGCGCGAGGAACAACGCTGTGTAAACATATTACAAGCGTATGCTTAATGATCGTCGCGTCAGTGCAGGCTATATACATTCTCCCGCTCTAGCTAAACGTTTTACACTCTGTGATTCATTCCACAAAGGAAAGAAATCTCACTCCAAAAGGAAAAGTGAAAATCTTATTCAAGGGTGCAAATTTTTCACTCTTTTTCAATAGAGAGAGAGTGACAGTATTTTAACTCTTCTTGGAGTGAGATTTCACTCCAAGAAATTTAGAGGAGCGTGGAACACCCGGGAAAAAATATTTTATAATTTTATATATTTGTATATAAATGGACATATTTTATATATAATTATATATAAAACATTTTCCCGAGCATTTTAACTCTTCGTTGCGAGTGTCAGTGTGCTAAAATACTGACAATAAAACAAATTTTTCGAAACGCATGCACTTTTTTTTTTTATTGATATCTTCTTGATAATAAATAATAACACAGGCCCACAGAAAAAAAAATACCATGTGCTGGGGTGGAGACCCAGCTATTCTTATGTATTTTGAGTCACTGAATACGAATCTGACATCAAAATAGGACCATCCAAAGTAAATTTTCTAGAGCGAAAAAAATGGGTCAAAAACCTCGAAATCTCTGCTTTTATTGATATATTCTAAGACCATTGGCAAAAAACTTTTGATTAAACCTAGACCATATGTTTCCCGAGTTGAGAAATACTTATCAGCCATCAAGAAATACTATACTGAACGCTCTGAAATACTAATATGCTACTACAAAAATTAACCCTTGATATCTCAATTGACGGACAAGGTGGCAACAAACGCCGTATCTACGTCTTCTACACCTCTTGCACCTTTTAACTTCTAGCGATGAATTCTGAGTGCCTCACATTACAGACACAGGTTAAATCCAATAATTCTCGAGAAGTTACCAGATAGACAAACTTTCAAGCAAGCAGCCATCAGACACAATAGCAGCCAAATTTGCGGAAACATTCTATCATATTCATTAATCACGATGCTTTTGTAGTTTTCGCTTTTCTTATTACCTAAAAATTTGTCTACAATTTTTTTGAATTGCTAAGCCATGCTGCCTTCTCGATGTAAGTCATTGTAGTAATGTGTCCGGTGAATAAACCTAATATTCGAATAAATGAATAAAAAATGAATGAAAATACTCATTGGAATACACTTCTTTTTTATTCGTCAAGAAACGAATGAATACTTTTTCATTCCATTTGAATGAATATTTTTTTAATATGATCAAGAATATTTTCGTTTCGTATTCACTTTTACTCTGCATAGCTTGCAAGCCTGCAAGAGAAAACAGAAATCTATAAAAACAATGATTACGATTACATCGTGCGCTTAGTCCGCGACCTATACGATGGGCGTCCTTGTTTAACCAGTACGTTAAACAAAGACATTTTTATTGGGAATAAATTATATATTTCGGAATTTAATGTTCACAGACCATAATGAACGACGCGCCCAAGATATCTTATAAAATGTTTATAACATTAATTCCAAGACAAAAAAAGAAATGGAAAGATGGTATCAAGGACGATGGGATATCAACTGGCTGACTTTTGTTGGACATTGAAGAGAGAAATGCCGACGAAAAAAAACAAGCGCAAGAGGAATCCATTACACAGATCATTTAAAGACAAAAGAGTGCGGAAGCGCGCACGAACATAAATCGATCTTTTTTTTTTAGATATTCACAGGTATGGTAGAGATGTGATATACGAGTAGTTATTGTGTCTGATGGCTGCTTGCCTGAAAGTTTGTCTGTGGTGTAACTCCTCGGAAATTATTAGGTTTAATCTGTGTCTGTAATATCAGGCACTCAGAGTTCATCGCTAAAAGTTATGTTATTAAGAGGTGTAGAAGACGTAGATACGGTATTTGTTGCCACCTTGTCCGTCAATTGAGATATCAAGGATTAATTTTTGTAGTAGCTTATTAGTATTTCAGAGCGTTCAGTACAGTATTTCTTGATGGCTGATAAGTATTTCTCAACTCGGGAAACATATGGTCTAGGTTTAATAAAAAGTTTTTTGTCAATGGTCTTAGAATATATCAATAAAAGCAGAGATTTCGAAGTTTTTGACCCATTTTTTCGCTCTAGATTAAAAATTTACCCTGGATGGTCCTATTTTTATGTCAGATTCGTATTCAGCGACTCAAAATACATAAGAATAGCTAGGATCTCCACCCCAGCACATGGTACTTTTTTTTCTGTGGGCCTGTGTAATCAGATCTTGCGGATTATACTATAAAATTGATGATCCATACAAGAATGATAAACTGTCAATAATACACTATAGACAGGTATCATATATTGCTTAGAGGAGTGTAGTATATATCAATTAGTAATCAAGTGTCTCGAGTATATCATATTGTTAATTGAAATCGAAATTTCACGCTCCAAGAAATTTAGAGACTAATTGTAAATGCAATATATGTATATATTTTTTTTAAATTTTTATACATACTGCATTATTATACATATATTTTTATACATGTATAGTTTAATTATTAATCACAAACGTACCATAGCTGATTAATGTACAATATAGCAATTATTTTACGAAATCAACTTGTTCATTTATTTGGTGTGAAACTGGGGCTTCGTATATATGTGAAGTGACTTTTGTGCGGGCGCACGAGTTATTATGAGAAAAATACAGTGTGTGCCTCGACAAGGGAGGTCTTGTCGTATACTTTTGACACCTTAACCCTAAGAGTAATATAAAGCCTCGCGAGACGCCGCAAGTACACAGAGAAAAGCCCATGCTTGATGCTTATCGACGGCGCGTGACGCCGCTACGCCACGGCAGTAAAAAGACACCCTTTTCCCCTTCTTTAACATATTCTTTCATCTTCGCGTCGTTATAAGTATTGTGACATTTGCGACTATATAACCGGAGTTAATCCTCGAGAGGTCAACCGCGACTCTCACTCA